AATGCAAAGCCAGGGGGAAGAAGTGCCTCGTAGCGTTCTCACTCCTCGGGTAAGAGCGCTGGATGCAGCAGGAGGTTTCCATCTGCGGCAGGTTTGTCATCTCTGAGCTGTGACCCTGTATCCAAGGCAACTGTTTCTGGATGTGAGGTGGTAAGGAGCTATAGAATAAAGGAGAGGCAGTTGTGAAATATACAGGTATGACTCTATCCGGAACAATAACCCTGAAATGCTAACAGGTAGGAAAGGGCTTGAAGGGAGCACCAGAATCCAAATTTTAGTCTCAAAATTCAGAATATGGTTATCTTCCTTGATGCAGCGTACATGTTGGCCAGTAAAGACCAAGCAGGATTACAGAAAGCTGTGAACTAAAGCAAGTGTGGAACAGACACCAAACAAAATTGCTTTCTCTTGGTCAATCTGCCTGTGTTCTGTAACCCACGTGTCTTGGGGATCAGCCCTGTCAGAGCTTAGTCTTTATGTTGCTGAAACTTCTTTCCCTCTGGAAGCAGCATTCTGCTTACAGGGTGCTTTTTTTGGTTTATTTCTGAGAAATCATTTGTTTAAAAAGTTCTATTCAACAGTTTTAGTTTATTTTGATTCCTTATTAAATATAGCTGCGTTATTAGGAGGTGATGGAGGTGATGCTACTCTCATGATCTACAATCTGGGATTTAAAATTATTTAAAATGATTTAAAACAATTTAAAATGTAGGAGCCATGTCACATGGCAGGATGCCTCTGTAGGAGAGGTGATGGAGGTGATGCTACTCTCATGATCCACACTCTGAGATTTAAAATTATTTCAAATTATTTCAAATGTAGGAGCCACGTCCCATGGCAGGATGCCTCTGTAAGAAGAGCTGAGGGCCTGGCTGAAAGAAGCAGGGACATGGTGCCGTGGTAAAGGCTGGAAGACTTTTTTTTGCGTTGTATTTGAAAGGTGACCAAAACCTTCCTCCATCTCTGGTTAAATATATCTTTACTGAAAAACTATCAACCCCTCTAGCTTCAAAATATAGTAAGACAAGGTCATGGCCAAACCAATGGCCCGAGAGAAGAGCTCACGGGGAAGTAAAGCTGCTATTCTTTTTTTCATTTTTTCTGGTACCAACCATCTTTTTTACCCATAAGAAAATGGGTAAAAGAAAAGAAGGGAAACAGGAAGCACATCACAAGGCACGTAAGTCTTCACAGATTTGTCCAGTTGCACCACCTTTTGAATCCATCACCAGCTTAAGTAAATTAAAAGTCCAGATGAGCAGAATAGTAAACACAAAGCCTATTATGCAGCTCAGGATGAGGGACTTGTTAATTGCCAGCACTTACCCCTGAGAGGCTGCTGAGGGATAAGTGATATCTGAGTGTTTTTATCAACTTGGCTCTGCTAATTCTGTGTGTTTGGGGAGAAGAAGTATCAAACAGCTGAAATGAATGCTGCCCTAGAGCTTGTATCTGAAGTGGTGGGTCAGAATTAGCATGAGGGAGGTTGAAATACTGTCTGAGCCAGAGGAAATGGCCTCAAGTTGCGCCAGGGGAGGTTCAGGCTGGATATTAGGAAAAATTTTTTCACTGAAAGGGTTCTCAGCCATTGGAATGGGCTGCCCAGGGAGGTGGTTGAGGCACCATCCCTAGAGGTGTTCAAAAGACGGGTTGATGTAGTGCTGGGAGGTACGGTTTAGTGATGGTCATGCTTCTTGTTTGTTGTGCAGGTGTCTGTTTTTGTCAAAGTTAGGTTGACGGTTGGACAAGATGATCTTTGAGGTCCCTTCCAACCTAGAAGATTCTGTGATTCTGTGAAAATCAACCCCAAGGTACCTGTTCAATGTATGTGGGGGCCATGAAAAGTGCAAAGCGCCATTGTGCTTCTTTCCTTGTACTGTCTCGGAGGCACAGGTGGTTCTGGATGAATGAATTTCACCCGGGCATCACGAAGTACTTAGCCTTGAGCAGGGGCAGAGCTCAGATGGGTTGCACAGAGGACACCAGGACCCTTCATGGTCCAGGGACAAACCCAGCCAGTGAAGGAAGACCCTGTATGAAGTGAGGGCACTTCTATCTGCTGGCTGTGGACCTGAAGTTACTATGTCTGCCTGGTCTTACTTGTTGCCTGTTTGCTGTAAGTCTTAGCACTCTTGTTGCTGTGATGGGTCCTTTCATGCCTGGTCTTACTTGTTGCCTGTTTGCTGTAAGTCTTAGCCCTCCTGTTGCCGTGATGGGTCCTTGCGTAGCTACATACTGAGTTTGGGGTAACATTATGCTTCAGAAAAATCTTGCTTGAACAAACCGCATCAAAAATATAAAACTTCTCCATCTCTTATGAATGGTCACCAAAAAGTACTAAAAAAGCTTCAATGCATTTATTTCAAGAGGAAACGAGCACAAACTTGAATATAAGAAGTTCCACCTAAACATGAGGAGGAACTTCTTTCCTTTGAGGGTGGCAGAGTACTGGAATGGGCTGCCCAGGGAGGTGGTGGAGTCTCCTTCTCTGGAGACGTTCAAACCCCCCTGGACAAGTTCCTGTGCAACCTGCTCTGGGTGGCCCTGCTCTGGTAGGGGGTTGGACTAGATGATCTCCAGAGCTCCCTTCCAACCCCATGTGATCCTGTGATATAACTTCATCCAAACTGTCACTCTCTCTCCTTTTTTTTCTTTTTTTTTTTTTTTTTTTTAAATTAGTAAGCGTGTCTAGCCATATGTGTGGCAATTTATTTTGATGGTGATGTGCACATGCTTGCTGGGAAGCACATGGTTAAATGCTTTGCTGACAAGGCAGGGGTGAACAGATGCCTTCTCCCTAACGAGCTGGCCGGGTGTCCCTAGCTGGCAACCACAGCAGGCCACCCAGCTTCTTCTGGGGGCCAGACACTAGTGGATATTTGTCACCAGACAAGAAGGGTCCCATGAGCAGCCAGCCCGACCCAGATAATGGCTTCACCCCACAGAAGAGGAGGTTCCTCTTGCCCCGTGTGAAGCCTGGGACCCCAAGGCATGTTCTGTGAGATCTTTGAGCAGATCTCCATTTAGCACAACAAAACGGAGAGACTCTGGGTCCAGAAAACAGAATCCAATGACCCCTTTGGTATTTTTTTTTATTTTCTGGTAATATGGTGCAATTTTTCTCACTGTCTGTTACAGAAAAAAGACTTTTGGAATGGGCTGCCCAGGGAGGTGGTTGAGGCACCATCCCTGGAGGTGTTCAAAAGACAGGTTGATGTAGTGCTGGGAGGTATGGTTTAGTGATGATGCTCCTTGTTTGTTGTGTGGGTGTCTATTTTTGTCAGTTAGGTTGACGGTTGGACAAGATGATCTTTAAGGTCCCTTCCAACCTAGAGGATTCTGTGATTCTGTGTGATTTTGTGAAGATAGTGATGGTGCAGTGCAGTCTGAATTGCTGGCACACGGCTGTTCCCCAGTGTGCCAAAAGTAGGGCCACCTCTTCCCTTGTGCACCTTCATGTCACTGGAGAGAGATGTCCAGTTGTACTCGTCAGCGGCGCTTCCATGCTCTTATCAACAACCGCGACGTTCTGTATCAATGAGGTAGGGAGGCAGCGCAAATAAATTGCCCAGAAAAATAACAGCCATTACAAAAATAAATCAATAGATTTCAAGCAGCAGGGAATATTTTCCTGTTACTATTTAAAGGTGAGTCATGGTAATAAACCGGATTTAATGATTTCATTATGCTCCATGGTAAAAGTGGCTCCTTTTTCTTCGCACGCTTTAATTCATGTGGCCTGATGTTGATATTTACCTCCCTGAATATGTTACTTGGCCAGCTCTTCTGTGGAACAATAAGGTAAATACGTTTCAGGACATGGATTTTTCACAAGCCATTAATTTTGATTACTTGTGCTTATTTATTCCTGGGACGTGAGCAGTCACCTCAATCCCATCAGTCTGTTTTTTGACAGAACCACCGAGCGCTTTTGCAGGGAAGAACAGCAGAACGAGGACAATACCTACAGAATTGAGTTTTAGAAGAACCTTCCTGAGATAGTATATGAAATATAGGTAATTCTTTTTCATAAAATAACTGGTATCAGGAAATAATGTGGAGCAAACTTACTGTATTTGCATGCAAATTTAAGATCACTTTTGCTGTTATTTAAGCATCCGTAGCCACCAGGCATTACTGCTTATATATAAAGTCATGTGTGTGAGTGGTGTCTAAATACAATTCTTGTAAAGAAGAGGTGAAATAATATTGCTGCTGGATCTTTCCAGAGTTTTTATACTCCAGTTTGTCTATTTACTGGGATCCTAGTGCTCCCAGTCTGCCAGGCTCTGCTGAGGTTGGGGGGGGCATCTTGATGGTGGTTTAAATGGGGCCGTGGCTTTTCCTTCCTTCTGTGAAGATAGGGGAATCTTGCTGGTTGTTTAAATGGGGCCGTGGCTTCTCCTCCTTCCTTCTGTGATGACACCAGGTGGCCAAGTCCCAGCTGGGATTTGGTTAAGACTATCAAGTGCTGCTATTTTTAAAACAATATTTGATCTTTGGGAGGTGGTGGGGTGTTTTTCTGTTATACAACCTGTAACCTTCCATCTTCTCAGTGGGAGGGGTATCAACAGCCTTTGGAAACAACGGCGTTACGGTAGGTTACAGCTTGTCAACAGAGAGCTCCAACTTTCCATCAGGCCACAGTGGCTCCATGCGTGGGAGCAGGGACGTGGCCTCTTCACCTTGTCTCATCTCGAGGTGGTTTTGGGCTCAGGAATGCTTCCACCTGCATTTAAAGAGTGGTGTTTCTCTGTTAATATCATCTTTCTTCACTGCTAGGATGTTTTGCTCTCTCTTGAGCTTTGGTCATCTCGTTGAGCTTTCTGGTGCCTCCCTCGTTCTTTACAAAACTTGGGTTTGTGTTGGCCTAAGCTGATTTAGAGGTAGGACTCCTTCTTTTGTCCAGGGAGGTGGGACCTTTGTTAAGTTACGTACATCCTGAGCTTATATGTGAAAAACCATGTCACTAACTCTCCTCTTTTATCTCCATCCCTTAGGTTTTGGGATGACCACACCAGCAACCGTGGCTGGAAAAGTATTCCTCATCGTTTACGGCCTTTTTGGGTGTGCCGGGACTATCCTGTTCTTCAACCTCTTCTTGGAGCGCATTATCTCTCTCCTGGCGTTTATCATGAAGGCGTGCCACGAGAGACAGCTGAGAAGAAGTGGTCTCCTACCTCCCAACTTCCGCAAGGGGCCAGCCATGGCGGGGGTGGGCAGCCTGGTGGGGTGGAAGCCGTCCGTTTACCACGTGATGCTGATTCTGGGAATTTTTGCTATTACCCTTTCCTGCTGCGCCTCCGCGATGTACACGGCGGTGGAAGGCTGGAACTACGTGGACTCCTTGTACTATTGCTTTGTCACCTTCAGCACCATCGGCTTCGGAGATTTGGTAAGCAGCCAAAATGCTGCCTACCAAAATCAGGGATTATACAGATTCGGGAACTTCATCTTTATATTAATGGGGGTATGTTGCATATACTCTCTTTTTAATGTCATCTCAATCGTCATCAAGCAAGTTTTGAACTGGGTGTTGAAAAAATTTGAATGCAGATGTTGCCCAAAGTGCCATAAATCAAGTGCCCGCCTGGGACGTCGCAACGCCATCACCCCGGGAGCCCGCCTGCGCCGGCAGAACATCTCGCTGGACGCTGATGGACAGTACGACAGCGACACCGAGGGGAGGAGGCTCTCTGGAGAGATGATCTCCATGAGGGAGCTCACGGCATCCAATAAAGTCTCCCTGGCCATTTTGCAAAAGCAGTTGTCGGAGACGGCCAACGGCTACCCCAGGAACGTTTGTATCAATACGAGACAAAACGGTTTCTCCGCAGGGGTGGGTGCTCTTGCCATCATGAACAACCGCTTGGCAGAAACGAGTGATTCTAGGTAGAGTTTTTTGAAATTCCTTTTGTTTCTATAAGATTGTGAGTAGGGTGGAATTACCACTGTATGCTACTGGAAAGTTTTAAATTCAGGGACAGCCTTGGTGTTCATTGGGCGTTCAGCATTTTAGTTTCTGGGGGTTTTATAAGTCTTCTCTAATATGCAGTAACACTTTTACCATAATGTTACAATTTTCCCCAAAGGGGTTTTTGGGAAAGACTCGGGTGTCTTTGATGCAGAATCTGATGCTGGTTGGTTTGGGTTTTTTTTAATCAGAGTTAGGTTGATGGTTGGACTAGATGATCTTAAAGGTCCCTTCCAACCCAGACAATTCTATGATTCTAAGGATGGTGTGTGTGGTTAGGGTGGTGTCAAAGCCAACATGTTCTTCAGAACGTAGCCTGAACCCAGGCTTTGGGTTAAAATGTATAAAATGGGCAATTTTGGCACCAGATTCAAACTCGGGAGTTGATAAGGTTTGGCTAAACCAGTATCTCACCAGTTTGTTGAAGTCTGGATCTGGCCCTGAACTTTGTAATCAATGTTCTTCAGAAGTTCCTCACAGCAGGTCTGTATGTAACATACATGTAGGTGACTGCAGTTACACCAGTTTTACGGTGTCTGTGCCTCACTTGAAGAATCTCACTGACTTCAGTGGCAGGGGATCAACTGGGCTGATGCCTGACTACCAGGGATGGTTTTTAGCCAGTCTTGTCTGAAACGCTGCCTGCCACCTAACTCTTAAAAGTCAGGGGCTAATCAAGAATTGTGTTAAAATGTGCAAAACTGTTCTTACCTACCGAATAACTGAATTTGGCAATTGTCAGCTTTGTTACTGACTTAATTGAACACAAGAGAGGCCAGTACACACCTCTGGTGTCAAATGTTTGCATCACCACTGAAATTATGATTTCGTTACTTTTACTGGAAAGTAAGTAGCTAAAATGAATGTAGACTCTCTGTTGTCTTAAATCTGCATCGTTTACTGCTGCAGTATTGATGCAGAGATTCACACGAATGATTTCCTTGCAGTTCTTTGGAGGCCCCAGCCCTGTAGTTGTTTCCCATGAATTTGGCCGTGTAGGTTATAGAGAAGAGCATGGCTTTGGAGCTCCCCCAGAAGCTGCCTTCACCCAACATGTTGGCACTAAGTCATAAAATGGGCTAAGGCTGTTGCTACTGTCTTAAGTCCTATTTAACCCGTGCTAGCCCAAACTGCTGAAGAACCAGAAGCCTCTTGAAGCAAACCTGGTCTAAGTGTCTAGTTGAGCATGACAACTGAGTGCATTGTGCAAAGCTCTGGATCGTTTCCCTGAATTCTTCATACTATCCACTCCTTTAGTGCTGTGAAGGAAAGAAAGGCTTTTCCTGATTTCATTAAGAAATATAACTTAAGGTTGAAGTCTGAGAAACCAGGACGGTCAGCTCTTGCAAACAAGTTGGGTCATTATAGGGAAGATAATAGGTACTGGGTTGATTGCTGAATAAGTTGAAAAAGCTGGTTTGTTTCAATTAGGAATATTGGGAATGTTTGAAAACATTTCTGTGAAGTTTCAAACAGATATTTTACTTTGTTGTCTACTTACTTTGTTTTGCATGGATTTGAGGTATCCATGGGGTTGCTCTCCTTTAAATTTGTAGTGGTGCAGAACATTTTGGAATTTAACCTCAGAGAAGATAACTTTTAATTTGAGGTTTTGCACACTTGAGCCTGCCAGGTGAAGCGTGGCGGTGATTGTATCTTTTGCCTGAGGGAGAAGGAACCAGGGCAGGAGATAAACCACCGCAGGTGGCTCTGTATCGTGCTGTAAACATGGTCCCAGCTTTTATTCGGATGCATTTGGCCGGAAACCCTGGTTTTGTGTTTGTGGTGTTTGTGTTCTGTATCTACTAAGAGTACATGGCATGGCAGAGCCTGCATTCAAGAGGCATTTGTGTGGTGGCAGAGACACCCCCGGCTAAGGTCCATGTGTCCATCTGTGCACCCCGTCTCAGATGCTCCATTGGAGCTCTGAAGAAGCAGGCAGAGGTCAGAGTGTGTGGTGAGCCTCATCTGAAGGCCACTGAAGGATCAATTTAAGCAGGATGTGTGTAGGGGCACGGTCGTGGTCTGGGAAAGACTCAAAGACCAACTGCAAACACCCCATTCAGGAAGGCGACTTCCAGAGCTGCAGGGACCATTTTTGGCAACAGCAGACACGGGGAACATAAAGAATAAAAATGTGTTCGTTTCCCTCAGGATTACCCCAGGGGTAGGTCTCTTTAGCTGTGATGATTTATGTGTTTGTTTACTAGAGTGTGTATGGGCCACTGCTCTTTTTTTTGCAGCTGGACCTCTCTTAGGGTTGCATCTTGGTACATTTGCCATCATTAGTCACGTTAGTCATTAGAATGGACCCCTCTGTGGGAAGTGCTGCATAAATCCAGGCAGACGGGCTCTGTCCCAAAGGTCGTAAGGGTTCAAAGAGACGGGATCCCAAGGCACAGCAGAATTACTTAGGTTTATCATATTACTCATAAAAACATGTTCGGATGCATTAACATGCCGTGAGCTTAAGAACTGTATTTATATGATTACAAATTTGCAAATTGGCACAGCAGAATTACTTAGGTTTATCATATTACTCATAAAAACATGGTCGGATGCATTAACATGCTGTGAGCTTAAGAACTGTATTTTTATGATTACAAATTTGCAAATTAGTTGCATCTTGGTACATTTGCCATCATTAGTCATGTTAGTCATTAGAATGGACCCCACTGTGGGACGTGCTGCATAAATCCAGGCAGACGGGCTCTGTCCCAAAGGTCGTAAGGGTTCGAATAGACGGGATCCCAAGGCACAGCAGAATTACTTAGGTTTATCATATTACTCATAAAAACATGTTCGGATGCATTAACATGCCGTGAGCTTAAGAACTGTATTTATATGATTACAAATTTGCAAATTAAGGGGGGGTTATTTTTTCAGTAAGTTGTTTTTAAAGGATAAATATTATAACTATGATTAGGGACCTATTTGTAAATTGGTTTCAAACTGCTTATTGCTGCCTGGGAAATACAGTGAAGTAATATGAAATTGTACATCACCTTTTCTGCTATTTCTGTACTTTTTCTGAGGCCAGTCAAAGGTGGGCACACAGTGACACGATTTAAAGGTTTCTGAGTCTTTTTGGTGCCATTGGTCCCTGTGGTGCCATGGCAGGACCCTCTGCAGTTCCTGGTGACTTCGGGGGAGGTGGACTGGCTGCCAGAGCTGGGTTCCCCAAGGGATCTGGATGCCTGATTGCTACTCTGTGCACTTAGGTCTGGTGTTTCTTTAGTCCCAAGGTCCTTGATGAGCTCCATTCTGCTTCTCCTTAGCCTCAGGGGCATGTAAAGCGCATGCCCAGTTTTTTACTGGTGCCCCCATTTCTTGCAGCACACGTATCCCCAGAAGCCAACACAACTGAACCACAGGGACCCCCAGCTTGTCTCTAAGCCCTGAAAAAACCCCAACCCCATCTGGCTCAGCAAGGCCAGTTTATGAGAGGGTTCAGAGCATGATTACTGATCTGGGTCTCCCAAGGAGTGGCCTTACACTTCCCTCATACTCCGTAGCTGAGTATTTTTCAAGGATGCATGAAAACCAAGCTCCAAATCTCTACTCTTCTGCCTGCTAGCGCTACCCGGGCACCCACCACCCCTGTGCATGAGTATGTGAGCCAAGAGGACGTAGGAGATTTGAGATCAGCCTTTCCTAGTCCTTCTTGCTCTTTCTTTACCCTTTTTTATGGCAACTTCTCTTTAAAATTTGCCAGACTTGGGCACCTACCTCCCTTCTTTTATTGTGCATGGTCCAACTCGGGGATTCCCCAGGGCAGCCTGTTCCTTTTGTGACTTAAACCCTAACGATGAACCAGTTGCAATCCCTCCTGGTATTTCATTTTCACAGACAGAGCAGATACCTGCAATACCCAGACACAGGCTGAAGCACAAGAAATCAGAAGGAAACTGGAGGAACAGAGTGGGACAGTGAAAGCACACTGCACTAGATTGCACTTTCTTTTCAGGTAACTTGGGAGTTGTATTACATTCTTGAAATTTTTTTTTTATTATTTTTTTTTAATTTTTCCCAGGTTTTATTTTTGGACAGCCTTGAAAGCATGTAATTGATTTAGGATTTAAAAGTTCATCTTCCCTGATGCAAGCCCCTCTGCCCCAACCCTGCAGAACAGGAACCTAGGGCTTCCCAGTGAGCCAGCCTCCAGCAGGAGCAATGACTGCAGAGGCACGAGCTGCTGGCACCTCCAGCGAGAAGGGAGGAGGTACCACGGCCACTCTGCCCATGTGCTAATACCTTGCAGATGAGAATTAAAAATTTAAGTGAGAATTGATAAGGGACAATGACCAAATTCAAACGACGTCTTCTCTCCCCTCTGGAGCTCAGGGCAGAACGGTCACAAGGAACAGTTTCTTGTGAAGCCTGTAACGCTTGGCACGTCGCTACATGTACTCCTTGGGGTTTGTCTTCCCTCCGTGTGGCTTGGACAAAGTTTGGAGTCACACCGAGATGCCATCCCGTTCTCTTTGGGTTCTTCCACTCTGCAAAACACACTTCTTTTTTCCTGCAAAAAATTCAGATTGCTTTTATTTCCTTGCAACGCGAAGGATGTCCTTCAGACGATGTAGATGTTCAGAGGAGTCATCTCACTGACCTCAGTGGCAGATGGAAGTTTCTGAAGGACAAGGCCATAATTTGTCTATCTCCCCACGGCAGAAGTAACTCCCATTACTGCTAGCAAGATGTACAAAGGCACCTGAGGCAGAGGTTGGGGCTTTGCAGCAGCAGGCACAACTGCAAATGGAAAGGAGGCGTGTTATAAAGGATATTTGTACCTCTTTGACATGTACTTGCTATTTGATAACCCAGTCGCCAGCTCTAATTGCAGCAAAAATACCCAGTGGAAGACAAGAGAGGTCTAAGAATCACGTTAAAGCTCTGGGTGACCACCCTGTGCCGTGCTTGGGTTACCCAGAGATGCACTGAGATGCTGCCCGTAGGTGTGGCCCTGGTGTCCCAGCATGGCTTCAGCCCTGGCCCTTGATTTCTTCTCCTCCCCAGCTGTCCATGGGTGAAAATTTGAATACTATAACCATTTACCTGTATTTCAGTCATGTCTTGACTTGCTCCTGAAAGGAGGACTTGAGCAGCAGCCAAGGTCATACAGCCAGGCACGTGGGCTCAGTGTAAACCTGATGGCCTGTGGGGTGAATTTATAACTGTATGAAAATTAGCTGTAGCAATGAGACCATTCTTACTTTTTTTTGTGTGTTTTCCTAGCCTTTAACTCAAAAAATATTCAGTGACTAATTATTACAATGAATGTTCAGAGCTAATCTAAACAAAAATCATACTTTGCTGATTGCTGTCACGTCTGTGGATACGGCTTCTGCTCTAATTGGATTACTAAGGTGCCTTTCCAAACCAACACACATTTTTCAGTGCTATATTTAAAAAAAAAATACAATAAATGTTATGTTACATAAACTCAATTAGGGCATATTAATACTTGACTCACAGAAAATAACTAACAAAGTGTGTATTTCACATTGCACAACCAATATGCAGTTTCTTTTTGTGTGAAGACTTCCATATTTTTGAGCTCATATTCTGCTTTCGTGAACACTCACGCTAGGAAAAGAGAAGCGCTGTCACAGTTTGGGTTGGGAGGCACCTTTAAAGGTCATCCAATTATGCTGTCTGTGGAAGAGGCAGGAAGGGATGGCCAGTTCCACTGGTGTGTGACTGGTAGGATGCCTGTATTAACATATGCACAGTAAGCAGCTCATTATGCATTATAAATACCTTGTGTAGCGATGGCACCGTCTGTGGAAGAGGCAGGAAGGTGTGGCCAGTTCCACTGGTGTGTGACTGGTAGGATGCCTGTATTTATGTGCACACAGTCAGCAGCTCATTATGCATTATAAATAAGTTGTGTAGCGATGGCACCAAGGAAGGACCACTTCAGTTTACCTGGCCACCGTCCCAATCCAGCTACCAATAAAGATGCATGCCTTTTTTCTTACTCTTTTTTGTTCATTAAATGGATAACATCTACCCTTTAATTAGAATATACTTTTAAACCAGTGAAAAAAAAAAGAGCGAAGCAATTGCCCAAAATACTGCAGAGCCAAAACAAGAGGTCTAGGATCAGATCCAAACTTGCAACTCTGGGGAGGAACCTGCAAACCTGCAGCTTCTCACATCTGCTGCGGTCAGTCCTTCCTCGGGAAGGGGGAGAGGCAATCCATAGGGATGCAGTTCCCAGTACCCAGTAATCTGGCAATTTAGGGGCTACTGGAAAAGCGGCCGCAGTGATGGGCGATATTTTGAAATACAAAGAACTATACGAAATACAAAGAATTATAAGAAATACAAAGATGTTCCCATAATCCCTTTATACTTTGCAGACTGTAAGATCACTTTTCAAAGCCAGTGAGTCAATGCAAAATTAATGCTTTTATAATAATATACAGTAAACAAGGTGAAAAAAATTACTCATATTTCTGACAATGTGCAATTCAAACACCAAGTATTTTCTCGATGGTTATCATTTCCTAATTTTTGTATTAGTGAGTGAGTCAGTTTTATTCCTTGCACGTAAAATAAAGTCCAGAAAAATTTTGCTTATAGTAACATCCATGGGCTGGACAGGCAGGGCAAGAATTCAGTTCTAATTTTATTGTAAAACCTCAGTATCCAAAAGCACAACATCTGAAAAATGGTTCTGGGGGGGTTTGTGTGTGCGTGTAGAGACATTGTTTATTTAGAAAAATAAAAAATGCCATCCCTTCACATACACAGACACATTTTTAGCTCACTAGAGCGCTACCTTGTTATATACTCTGCAAAAATATTAATTCCAAATTTCAAGCGAACTTAAAGGCCTTCAGCGATAAAACATCTGCTCTAAGGTTTTCCTGTTTAATTTCTGTTTCTTTTTAAAGGGGGACAGCTTGGTAGGTATCTTTAATGGAGTTGGCGTTATTATCTCCTATTACAAACACCAAGAATTTTACTTCTGCAGTTAATTCCCCTGATTTTGGTATTTGTGCACTTCTGTATTTCAGTAAATGGGAATTACAAAAGGAATGACCAGTTCTCTGCTGGTTTCGGGTGGGTATCACGTCCCCATGTGCACTGATTGGGAACAGTAAACTATTAACAGCACCAGCAAATTAACCAGCAAATGTTCCCAGACACACCAAAATTAGACACTTTTCTGAAATGTCTTGTTTAAAACATTGTTTTGTAAAATCTAAATTATTATGAGTTTAAGTTACTTGGAATTAGCAGTCTGAATACTTTTCCTACCAACAGAAACCCTTGACATGAACTCAGTGAAAGAAGCTAAAGATACAGTTTTATGTAACAGGTCCTTTCTATTTTATTTGCCCATTTTATCTCATTTGTTTAAACTTTTCATAAAAAGGTCAGAGGGATGTAAATCCCATTTGGAAAATGCCCTACCCTGTACATTCACGCCAATGAATAAAGCTTCTAGAGGGGTGGAAACTAAGACTACTAGATTGTGTGTAAACACAATTATATGTATAAATCTTCAAATCTTGAGTATCTTTACCTCTGTGGCAATTGGAAACGAAGGGCATGGTAATGTGGTTCTAATTCAGTCAAGGAAACATAACTAATAAGAGTTCCACTTGCTGCTGGCGGCTTTTATCAAGAAGATAAAGCATCAAGGATAATTTACTGACTCTTGATGGACAGAGGTGTTATTTCGTAGGGTGGTTCAGTGGCTGGGAGCTTACACCGGGGTGGTTAAAGCAGCTTGGGGGAAAAAAAAGAAGAAAAAAAAAAAAGAAAAGATGGATATTACCTTGCTGTAGCTGGTGCTAGACAGTTTCTGGCCACCTTTGAACCCTGGTTCGTTCCCAAAACTGGAGGGTTTGGGACCCAGGTGCAGTTGTTGACTCACTGCACGTTCAGTCTCTGCACCAGTGAAGCAGTGATGCTGGGATTCCACTTCCCTCCTAAAACAGATAGAGAGGTTCGTTTAGGCATTCGTTATGATGACAGCATATACAAGTATTACCCGATGAATCGCTTTCCAAGCCTGGCTGTAATTTGCTAAGAGATCTTTATCAGTAAAGAAGCAGGAAAATTGTTGTGCTGTCCTAGGAGTACAGCGAAGCAGCAGCAGGAGGGGTGCTCTGAACAGAAAGCCAGGTGCTAAAATACACATTTGGGCCCCAAAGCTCAGGCACGTGACCCAAAAATTACCGTAGCCTTCATTTCTGATGCTCAGCACACCTGCATCTCGAGGGATAGCTCAGTTTCTGACAGCACCGGGGTAGCCAAGGCTTGTATTTACTTCATCTGCATGAAAGCAGAACGCATTTGAGGACATGCCTTGGTGTGAATAGGACTCGGGCACGGAGTTGCCTCCATCCCCACATTTAAGCACCCCCGTGGTCCAGAGACCGTGCGTACTGGCCCAGTCTCAGCAGAAAATGGCTTTGCCTCGGGGTGGCCGTGGGATTTTGGAGAAGAGCTGAATGTCACGGCCACCTGCAGCTGCCTCCTCCAGCCAAACCTCCCCCGGCGTGGGCTCCATCCCCCCGCCAGCCCCTGCTCTGCAGCCAGCAAAATGTACTGCCAGCAACGCGGCGCCAACCCGCAGCGGCGCGCTCCTATCCCTGCCTTCGGAACGGGCTCAAAACACCAGAAAAATATATAGAGAGCATTTTTCTATTTTAATAACCCAAAAGGGTGTTGCCCATTATTCACAGCCTACACACAAGATGTCATGATTTCCCATTTCCCTGCGCCAATCACTCAATCCGTTTGACAGCCGACCTTCAAGTGCTCATGGCTTTTCAAAAAATAAAAAAAAAAGGGGAAAAAAAGAAAAAAAAAACCAACCAACCCAGTATCAGCATCTGAGAAAAGTAAAATAATCCTAAATGAGACAGTAATGAGCTCACGTGCCAAAGCTGTGAGCAGAGCTGCCTCTGTGGATAGCAGCCAGATGTGGGAGATGTTTGGGTTCAGGAGAGCATCGCTGGGGTGGTTGGGGTGCTGGACCTTACCTTGTGACCAGCTGCAGCACCAAAAAGGGCGCTTTTAAGAACAAATTTCTGCAGCTGTTTCTCCATTAGGGAAACATCTCATCACCTTTGGTGAAATCGGGACGGCAGCAAGTCCTGGGTGAAGTGAGGGGTGGCCCACCAGCCTGGCCTTACTCCAGGCCCTGCTCCGTTTTTCCTGTGGGATAAAGGGAACAAAGTTGCTCCTTCAGCAGCTCCTCAGCAGCTCAACGTACTCCCTGAGAGCTGAACGATACAGAAATCATCTAAATAAGCCAAAAGAGCCGGTAGGTTCTAGGAAGCAAATGCTGCTCTTGCCTGAATCTGGAGTGACTTAGTTGAATTGCAGGTAGTAAACAGGCAAATTAAATAATGACTTTTAAATGAAGAAGTCGAAAGGAGCTGCCTGTATTTTTCCAGCACAATTTTGGTTGCGCTTACCGAGTCAAGAAGGGAAATGAAGAAGCCGAAGTTCCTGTAAATCATTGATTAGAAAACACAGATTTTTATCTATCTATTTTATCTATCAGATGATGCTTGCTAACAAAACATTAACTGGAAAAAAAATATTAAAGTTTGAGATCTATTTAAACAAATGGCTTTTTTAAAAATGGTTTAATTCTGGGTTGACAGGAACTTTGCCTCCAACACACACCATAATTGTGAGCGCTTTTAATGCATCGGTCCCGTTTTTGATGTCAGCTCAGGATTTTTCCACTCTAAGATCTTTGAATGAAGAGGACTAAAAGCCATACACAAAGCCAATTCTATACAGAGTGCATTTTTACTGGTATGTTATATACAGTTTGGGATTAAAAATGGAAATTTTGGGCTTGGCACCCCTTCATTCACAGAAGCAGGGCTGTGGACCTCGGAGACGGAGAGGGCTGACGCGCCGAGGCAGAGGCGTTGGGGGAGGATGTGTAGAGCTGGTAATTAATGAGACCATGGAAGAAGATGGTGTTTGGGGAACACTCCTGTGTGTTTTTAATGCTGTGATTACCCGACCGAGTATGAATTCTGTACATCTGGGAGGATGTCAAATTCCAGGTGACGCTTGGATTGTTGCGATTAAGCTATTACAAAGACTTTTGAAATAAACAGGAAAAAAAACCAACAATGTTGCCTGGGATGTGTATGCAAGGACTTTTCTTTTCTGAGCACGGGGGAGCAGGAGGGCAGGCAGAAGCACCTCCCAGCCAAGAGATCCTCTCTGGAACGTGTGGCTCGGGGACCACAGAGCCCTAAGGTGAGACCCCACAGCCCCCCCAGGTGCTGACTGAGCTGTGTGTGGTTGGGGACAGCACCAGCAGGACACGCTTCTGATGTGAACGATGGTTATCTATGAAAGGTTGCAGCTGCCCCATCCTCTGCTCAACAGCAAAACAGAGAGCAGATGGAAACTGTTTGCTTGGTAAACAGTTATAAGGAACTCTCTCTGTATCCCCTCTCCCCAGCTTTCATTCAAATCAATAGGATCCACCTGTCTGAGGTATTAAGATAAATCCTGAAAATTTCAGTATTGACTAGAAAGGTACTTAAAAAAAAAAAAAAAATCAATCCTGCTGCAAACAGGGAAATGTCACGGGGCTGAACGTGGAGGCTGCTCATCTCCCCAGGTAACACAGACCCAGAGCACAAACCTTCCTGGTTTATAGACCCAGCCAAAACCCTGGATTGCTGTCCTCATCTCCTCAGCTGATTAAAACAAGCCCCAGCCAGAGCCGGTGCTGGGCACACGCTCCCCGGGTGGCTGCTGCAGTGTCCCAGCTGCTGTGACAGCCTCCCCTTGCCAAAACGCACACAAACTGTTCTCCCAGCAGAAAGGGTAAGGGCTAATGAGCTGCAACCACCCAAAGACATAGAATGATAGAAGCATCCAGGTTGGAAGGGATCTTTAAGGGGGAGGGAAGCTGTTGGCTGTTTAGCCCTGACTCCACTGATGCTACACGTCCTCAAAGGTGACACTGGGGCTACCAGTTCCCCTGGGATTTATTTGGGGTCTTACTGGGGTCTAATGACATCTTACCTTTTCCAGTGGTTTCAGCCCCCGAGCTGCAAACCTCGTTGATGATGCCGTTGCGTTTCCTTGGGTCTGAGTTTCTTCTCCTTCCACCTCCAGTGGGCAGCTGATCACACACCGAGAAACACGCCGTCACCTCCCTCACACGTCTGTATCCTATCCAGAAAGCACATTTTGTGCAACCATTACATTTCTATAGGAAGATTACATAAAGGTTGAAATCTGGCTCACCCTAGTCATGTAACCAGTTATTTTGGTAGAAATGAGGCTATTTGAATGAGTGAGCCAAAAAAAAGGGTTCACCTGAAATACCCTTGAAATGTGCTATAAAAGTCATCAAAGCCCTCACCACAATCCCTCTTTGTCTCTTCGCTTTTATCCACTTTAATGGGTCTTCTTCTTACCTCATTTGTTCTTCTGCCTGATTCCAAGTCTCCCGTTTCCTTCCCACTGCTTTATTCTGCCAAACTCCTTCAAAAGCGGTGTGTGAACTTGTGACCTGCTGAAAATCGGTGACAAAACCTCCTCAGCTGAGCTGATCACTGCACCGCCTCTAAAAATAAATGACACCCTCAGGTTTGCTCTAAACCTCCCTCTTCCCCTCCGCTCCCCGAGCCATTCCTTCAAAGGACAAAACGCCATCGCTGGGGGTAATTAAAACCAGTTCATATCCTGTTAGTATTACAGGTTTAAAAATCTGAGTGCCAGGGAAACAAGGCTCTTACAGTTTCCGTAGGAAACGAACTCCCACAAGAAACATATAACTTAATTTTGCTGTCAGATGTTCCCACAGACTCCTTTTGAGAGTCAGCCGGAGCCGTACGTATGTGCCTGGAATCAGTTTAAAGCTTTATATTTAGATCGTCACCCTCCAGTCATTCAAAACACTTCATGTGGGAAGTTTTCAATGCTGTGATGAAACCCTTTATTTTGGAATTTATTGACATTTGAGGGTCTATGATCACAGCTATACCGCTGCACTGACTTGGAGGCTGCTGGTCCTTCTGCAACCCACCAGATCCCACACAGACAGAAGGTCCCTGGTGCTCAGACCCCTTTCCAGAAGAACCATTGCTGAACATGCAACAGAGACCCGACAGCACAGAGGTCAAGTGCCATCAAAATTGGGAAGAGCTGGCCACAAGTCTCACCTCCCCAGAGCTACAAACTGCTTTCCCTCGTAGCGTTGTTCTGTGTTAATGGCAAGCCAAGCGAGCAGAACCTGAGGCAACTCACTTGTGTGCCCTGGGAGAGACCTGCTTGCAGGGAAATCTTATTTCCTGTGCAATCTTCCACATGAAAACTTCTGATTGCCTCTAGTACAACACAGCACGTTGACACCCGAGAGCGATGGCTTCCTGAGCAATTTATCCCTGGAGCGATGGCAAATGATTGGGGATGCTCTTTCTCCTTGGGGACGTTTGCAGAGATAGGAGAGGCAGCCCCCCTCTCCCACCCCGATAGCTGCAGGTGGACCTATGGGGTGAAGTTTTGTGTCCATATGTCCATCACCACTGAGATGTCAATCAGTTGGCAAAACACCACATGTACGGCCCGTCCAAGGAAATTATTCTGACCTCTTTATGCTCCCAGTAAACTCGAGAAAGGAAGAACAGAATAGCCAGTGGAGGGGAGATAATGGATCTGCAACTGATGTGCTTGGGTTTGCTTTGGTAAGACCAGCCATCCAACTGCACCTCTTTGCCTTCACTGTGGTTTGATCTCGTGCCACGGATTGCACTGAGGGCAGGCAGGTGCACTAGAGGCACTGGGATGCTGCCAGAGCACTAAAACCCTGCCAGTCCCTCCAGCACATGGGTTCTGTGCTGCTCCTTGCATCTTCTCTCTGCTACTGGAGATAAACCCTCCATCCTTACTGAGCTGTGGACCAGTGGCCACCCTGGCCCCTTCCTGGGAAACCTGCATGGAACAAATGACTCCAACTCTCTGCTCTTTCCGTAGGAAATACACGGGAATGTGATAGCAATCCTCCTTCAAATGAGGGATTTCCACTAACCTGTGGCATCCAGGAAAGGAAAACTGTTTGGCCTAACACGTGACAGCAGCTTAATGACATGACAAAATAAGGGATAAAATTAATGGAGGGACCAAACCCAGGAGGGCTCCTCTGGGGTGACGTGAAGGGGTCACTTTGCTCCACTTTAGGTTCTCCCTATCTCACTCCCACCCTGGTCAGGCAGGGCCTGAAGTCTTCTCCTGCACCCCCAGGCAGAAACACCTCTCTGCCAGGAGCTGCAACAGCCCATGTCTGGGTACAGCACCTGGACTGGCAACGCAAAACCAAACCAATCCACCTGAATTATACAGGGAGAGAAACACTCACTCCTGAAATCTCTGCAAATCGGGTAAAACCCATCAGCAATTCTAAAGGAACAAGCCAATATTGGCCGAGATTGTTCATACCCATATAATGATGCTCAATCTTTGCTCGCGGCTCTTCATGACTGAAAGTAAAATCTTCGTTTGTACCAAAATTTATTTTTATCTTTCATCTTCTAAAACGCAGGTATAAGTAAGCAACCTCTCATGAGCATCAGCTGTGCTATTACAGAAGAAATGAAATATTCCTATGTAGATCTAATAGATAGCGGTAAATGTTAGCATATTCTTGAGATCCGTGAGATCGTTTAAGCAGAAATTACCTTATATTAAAAATGGATTATAGGCAGTTACCGGCTGTATCCACAGCCCTTTAGAGGAAAAAATGAACCACCAAGAATAATTTTTTAGCGACTGCTTCCATCTGAAGTGCAATCACGTTTTTTCTGGCTCCTATCAATAGCGAGGAGCCCGCGGATGAATTAGACACTCTGTCTTTGCTCCCTTCTGTCACTGGTAATTCTACCACCACCAGCCCTAGGCTTATCCTCAAGCCTCTGAACGAGAAGCTTTGGACATTCTCATTTCATATACGTCACTCAATGATCTTGAGGGTCTATTCCAAGCTAAACGATTCTACATGCAGAAACTCAGACACAGGAGAGTCAAGGACTTGTCCATCGTAACACGGGAGACCTGCATAGGAATTATCAGCAGATCCTTGGGCCCCAGACCAACGGTCGTAGGCAGCACGCTTGTCTAGGTGGCTTCTTCTGAAGATGATGAGAGCCCCAGCCCTACAAATCTCGAGCACCTTGGCTCCAACAGAAATGGACAGCATTTGTCATTTTCCAAATTTTTCACCCAACTGGCTCCCCTGTGCACACAAAGCCGGTAAAAGCAGACGTCAGGCCACAGCACTGAAAACTTCAGAGCGTTATTAAAGGCAAAGGAAAGAGCAGAAAGCAGATGTTGCCGTGTATAAAGCTGACGGGAACACATCCCCCCATCTCGCAGGTATCAGAATTGGGAAGCAGGAGTCAGAAAGCAGCTCAGCTCAGTGGGATTTTAACAAAACATCCGTTTATCAAAGTAGTCTAAAAAAAGCGTAGCTCTAGGTTTTGAAACTGCTGGTGAAAAGACAGCTGCATCTCTCAGCAATTTTAAAAGCTATCCTAAGAATTGCTTTATTTTTTTGCTTTGTACCTAAGCATTGAAAAGCCGATGAGGTAACTTTTTAGAAGTTTTTTTTACAGTATTACCTCCCAACCTGAATGCATTTTGATCCACACTGCTTTGCTGTAAAAATATTAATTCAAAAGTGCACATGAAAACAACTGGGAGGGATTGTTCACTCTTTTTTTTTTTTGGCTGGTTTCACCCACAAAAGGGCAGAGACGACAGAGAAATCTGAGGCCATGAACAGACGCTGCTGGAAGTCCCTAGAAATATCACAACCACTTTTCATGCTAGAGCACGTCATGGTATTTTTCTAAAGCAAGTGGAAAAATCACCAGTACAAAACTGTGCCTTATATCAGGGTGCTTGCTTTTTGGCTGAGATGCTGCAGATGGGTGCAGTCAGAGAATACTGTTGGAGGGAGCTCATAAACACTCTGTGCATCTCCACAGCAGAAAACAGAGCTTAACAGAGGCCAAGGGCTAACACAGCTGTGGGGTAACACACAACACACAGGGGTAGGATGACCAAAGCACCCCTGGGTGCCATACACACATCACTGCAGCTCCTGATATTGAGACCCCCTGCCTTAAGCCAAATGTGGGGAGACCCAGGTGCCCTTTGGGGGATTTGGGCTGAATCTGGGGGCCCTCTGGGATCCCTCTGGGCAGCCCCTTCTCCCAGGGCTGCTCCTGCACAGACCCAGAAGAGAGGGACAGGAGGGGGGTCTTGGTGCATCAGCTGAGGTGTTTTAGCCATCTCTCCCCTTCCTGCCCCTCACTTTGATCAGACCTGCAAGCCACCCAACCCTGAGCAGAGGAACAGATATCACCATGATCATAGACTCATAGACTGGTTCGGGTTGGAAGAAACCTTAAAGATCATCTTGTTCCAACCCTCCTGACACCGGCAGGGACACCTCCCACCAGACCAGGTTGCTCAAAGCCCCATCCAGCCTGGCCTTGAACACCTCCAGGGATGGGGCAGCCACAGCTTTCTTGGGCAACCTGTTCCTGTGCCTGGCCACCATCACAGAAGCTCAGGGCTCCCTTGCAAGCTGACTCCTGAGCTCCTGCACCACCTGCAGTGCCACAGGGCCCTCTATGTGGCTCTTGGGGCTGAGGAACACAAGAGCTTTGCAGACCAGCTGCAGCACTACTTACCTCCATCACAGCTTCTCTGGGCAACCTGTTCCTGTGCCTCGCCACCATCACAGAAGCTCAGGTCTCCCTTGCAAGCTAGCTCCTGAGCTCCTGCACCACCTGCAGTGCTCTGGGGCCCTCCGCGTGGCTCTCAGGGCTGAGGAACTCAAGAGCTTTGTAGACCAGCTGCAGCACCACTTAGCTCCATCATCAGCCCCAGGGCAGCATCTAAAGCACCACCAGCATCCATCCCATTTGTGAGCAGAAGATGTTTTGGCACTGGTGCCCAAATAAGTGCTCCTGGATGCCCTTCAAGCAAATAAATATGTAACAACTCCAGCAGAGAAGACTCAGGAGCCATTTTTAAAGACAATAATTTGATTAAAGGGTTTTTTAAAGAAATTGTCTTTGCTCGACTAAAGGGGAGGAGGGCTGGTGCGTTGGCAGGACCTTGGTGTTCAGGGTGACACTGCTGCTCACAGCAGCTCTTTGGCTGTCACCCCTTTGGCTCTGCAGCAGAGACCATCTCCCCATCTCCCACTGTTGAAAACCTGATGCCATGACATGGAGGGTCTCCACGATCTGCCAGGAGGGAAAAAGCCTCCAAAAAGCAAATCCTCCCAAGCCACTGCTGGTACCCACAGATGCCCAGGGCCGAGGAGAAGGTTTCACAGTGCCGGACCCGATTTTGATATGCCTGAGGCAGCACCAGTAGCACTCAACATAGTCAGGAGAAGATGCATCATTCAGGATTCTCACTGATCTTTGCTCTAAAATCTTTTAAAACTCCAGAAACTGCAGCTGGGACTTACAAGCATCAGCCCTGTACCCTCCAGTATCTTTCCTGTACCACATTAATGTTTAACATGCCATGCTGGCAGCTCAGGGAGCCTGGGCGCTACCAGGCAGCATCATCCCTCAGAGAGCTTGTCCACCCCTGCTTCTGTGCTTTCTCACAGAATCATAGAATGGTTAGAGTTGGGAGGGACCTTAAAGATCATCCAGTTCCAACCCCCCTGCCATGGGCAGGGACACCTCCCACCAGACCAGGTTGCTCCAAGCCCCATCCAGCCTGGCCTTGGACACCTCCAGGGATGGGGCAGCCACAGCTTCTCTGGGAAACCTGTTCCAGTGTCTCACCACTCTGACAGGAAAGAATTTCTTCCTAAAATCTAATCTAAATCTCCCCTCTTTCAGTTTAAAGCTGTTATCCCTCATCCTATCACTCCACTCCCTGATCAAGAGTCCCTCCCCATCTCTCCTGTAGCCCCTTTAGGGACTGGAAGGGGCTATAAGGTCTCCCTGGAGCCTTGTCTTCTCCAGACTGAACACCCCCAACTCTCTCAGCCTTACTGTGAGCAGGAAATCTGTTGTGGATGTTATTAAAGTGCCTGCAAGGTAGATGCTGCGAACAGACAGAGGAGAGGCTGGGAGTGTGCAATATTGCATCTTTTGAGCCGTGCAGTGTTGAACTGATCCCAGCGAGGCTTTCTCTGCTGCAGTTGAACAGCACAGTCTGCAGGGCTGCCCCAGGGAGAGTGAAGTGACAGTTCCCCAATATGGATTTTCTTCCCCTGCTGCTCAACAAATTTAGTCATTCAAATCCTAATATATTATTGATGAGCACTTCTGTCTGGAGAACACATAGAGTTGCAAGCAATTCAAAGTACAGTTTAGAACAAGTGGTGCTCTCCCCAGAGAGGGGCTGAGTGAGGGGGCGAGGGTGGCACCCAAAGGGTGTTCTTTAAAGGCGCTGTCACCTACAGCAGGGACTGGTCCTGCTTCAGGGACCTTCAGCAGGACCTTTCAGGACCATCCACAGCATTTTAACATCAGAGACACCTGTTCAAATTCATATACTTTTCTACTACCTTAAATAAAGACCAACATAGCTTTTCCAGCAAGCGTTTTTGGCCGCCCAGTCCATTTTAAAATGGGAACTGCTGACTTTTGGGGGTTACACTGAAGCTGAGACTTGTTACTTCTGTTAGGCTGGTTTCTGGCCGGCCTCTCTCCAAAACTGCTACAAGAGGAGATGGGTTTACCCCAGCCAAGCTCATGCTCTGCCATAGCAGCTCGTCCTTATTTGTCACAGCTTGTCCCCTCCCATGAACATTTTTAACATGGCCCGACAGGAGGGCACAGAACACTGGGGGAAAAAAGGGTTATTTTCAGAAAGCTGTCCCTAGAAACATGGATTTAATAAATTTTTATCTATACATTAATTTCTAGATATATTAATTTTTCCAGTTGTTTCCTAGCTCTTGGTCAAGAGTGTCAACATAAGCTAAATATGAGGAGGCATTTATACTAAGCTTACATAAACACCCAACATACCACCATAGTTATATTACTATTACATCTTAACAGGTGATTATAACCGATTCTAACAGGCCACACAAGTCTCCTAAAACCCCAAAGCTCTCCCGCTGGCTTTCCCTTCTAACCCGCCCACTGAGGGAATGCGAAGGTGCCTGGGGAGCAGGCAAACCTCTGTGCATCCACACAGGCTTCAAGTCGCTCATTCCAAACGTTATCTCAAGCCTAAAATTTCCCTGATGGCATTTCTACAAAGGTAGATTTTTCAGGACACACCACACGAGCTGATTGTACCAAGCCTTCTGCCACCTGAGTCCCGAAGCCATTCTGCCTGCGCACTTTCAGAAGCATCAATCTTTGCAGCTGCTTTCCTCGTTAGCTGGAATTTGCTAGTGTAGGCATTTTTTTAAGAGCAGAAATTGGGCTATTTCCAGCCTTTTATTTTGTTGTTTGCTCTTGTTAGAGCAGCACATGAAGGGTACCCAAAAATCACAGCCTGTCCTCTCCCACCTCCCCATGTAGGATTCACCACCCCCCTCAGTCGGGGCATGTTCTTCTCCTCACCTTCATCACCAGACTCTGTTCCCAGCCAGCATCTACACTCTCACCACACAGGAGAAGGGTAGATAACGAGAGACAGGTAATGAGAGACAGGTAACGATGAGATGACTCCCACCTCCCCATGTAGGATTCACCACCCCCCTCAGTCGGGGCATGTTCTTCTCCTCACCTTCATCACCAGACTCTGTTCCCAGCCAGCATCTACACTCTCACCACACAGGAGAAGGGTAGATAACGAGAGACAGGTAACGATGAGATGGAGAAGACAAGTGACAGCCACAAAGTCAGAGAGAAACAGGGAGATAAGAGCGCAGTGGATGTACAGAGGTCTGGTACACAGCAGCGATCCCAGTGCCTAATTAAAGACTGGTATCTAATTGAGAAGCTCTCAGTAGCGGTCTCTGCACCAACCACCCACTGGTCCCCTGCAGCAAAAGCCCTGGGCAGGGATGCTGTGGCCCCACACCTCAGCCTTCAGGTTTAGGACCCCAACTCAGCCTCAAGGGCCTCAAGGCTTGTGTTTTCAAGACACAGGGAATTCAGAATTAAAACATCACCTGGGTGCGCGGTGACCTCGCTCTGCTCTGTGCAAATCAATGCAAGCTTTGTCACTAACTCCCATCACAGCAAAGCTGAGCAGACCATGGTGAGCGAAGTGAAGATGCTGTAGTTCCCCGTTCGTACCATCGCAGTTTAAGCACGTGCTCCTCTCGGACGAGCTCATCCTCTCCTCCCTGATTCTCTATCCAATTCCACAGCACTAAAAAAAAAAGAGGAATATAGGTTGTCCATTTGCACATGTACTGGATACAGTGGAAAGCAGCACACTATGTTTGGGGATACACCTAACTGTAGGAAAAGAGCATGCCTTCCTTCAGCAACCAAAGGTACCAAGAAACATCTCAAAGCTTGGCAAGGCACGTGGTCCCTACAGCCATGGGAAGGTTTCCCAAACCCTCCCTGACTGATGGTTACGGAGCTCTCTGTCAAATGCATTCCTGTTCCCTATAGACCAGGTGTGTGACAATCCGTTTTCCAGACTAAATTTCCCTACTTTAAGATAAAGATCATACTTACGCAGACCTCATCGTGGGAGATCACTGTCTTTTAGTAGAGGTGGGGGATAACAAAACGCAGACGGAGCCAACCCAACTGACCAGCTGAAGCCCTGGAGCCCAGCAAACAATTTTTACACCTCTTTTAAAAAAGACTGGCAGCCATCTCCTGTGCTAACAAGCGTGGTTCACTCTGCAGCTGAAGCCACAAGCCCCTGATTTCTATTTATACCATCCCAGCAGCACGAGCCCCAGCTGCTTGCTGTCGGCCACCCTGAAGTCACGCAGGTGTGAACAGCTCTGCTAGAGCCCATCTCCCCTCTGCAGAGGACAAAAGCTATTTTTAGTGCTATTTCTCTATTCTTGCAGTGCTTTAGGACCTGATCAGCAGCTGAGTGGTTTGAAACAGGGATCGCCGTTATCCTTGTTTTGGTAGCAGGGAGGTGGGTGCTCAGAGGTAAGAAAATATACCTTTCTGAGAGCATCCAGGGCTGGTGAGGAGGGGGGTGAGGAGGTGCCTGCCCCGGTGGCACTGAGCCTGGTGACCTGAGCTGGACTGGCAGCTAAAACCTCACTTTCCTCTGGGCAGCTCATCTGCAGCATAGCAGCCCTGTGCCAGCAGAGAAAGCCAAGCTGGAAAGAATGTGAAACTGGTCAGCAGAAAACATGACCAGCATGGGCAAACCCCTTGGTTTAGTGAGCTTTGCTGCAATAGGGGCTCCTGGGCACAGAGAAAACCATGCCCACCACCCCACACCAGCAATGCAGCTCTTCACAGGCGGGAGGAAACAAATCACAGAACCATAGAATGGTTTGGGTTGGAAGGGATCTTCAAGATCATCCAGTTCCAGCCCCCCTGCCATGGGCAGGGACACCTCCCACCAGACCAGGTTGCTCAAAGCCCCATCCAGCCTGGTCTAGAACCCCTCCAGGGATGGGGCAGCCACAGCTTCTCTGACACCAGGAAGGGCAATGCATTATCCATACATTTGTGAGAGCTGCTGCTCTGTTGTTCCCTTCTGGCTTACAACTCTGAAGCAGTGGAATTCGTTACATTCCAAATAGGAGGTCAATATGTAATTTAATTAAGATAGATGGTTTCAGGTTCTCCCTGCTGGTGTTGCCTCATCGGGAGCTGCTGAGAGACCTGCTCTCCATGCACATCTGCTTGTGAGTGCCATACCAGGAGGTCCCTCCTGCTCCCTGACCCATTTGGTCATATTGCCACATTTATAGTAAACTAGAATGAGGGTTTTGTTAAGAAGCCAAAAGGCCTATGGCTGTGTATGCTTCATATGTTCATTTAATTACTGCTTTCCTCCTTTTTTCTTCTCAATTAACCAAGAAGGCCTTGTCTAATGGACTGAGTGAGAATGAGGCAAGAGCAAACAGCAGTTCCCATTAAGGGTTCTCCAAACCGCAGCAGGAGCTGAGAGCAACTCCTGTGTGCTCACAGCAGTTTGACGTTGCGGGATAATGACTTTGAAGGCTGAAATTAATTTACTTACACACACACACCCCCCTCCCCGCTCCGAGCACCCCACTTTGTTTGCACACACAGAACAGGCTAAGGCTTCAGAGCTGCCCTGATGTGGACACATTGTGCTCTCCCATACCTACAAGTCCTCCCGGTCACACCTGAACCAAAAGACGTCCCCAAATCTCAGTTGGGCTGAAGATGAGCTCTGTGCCAAGGCAACATCGGGCTGACTCCACACTACACACTGCCTTTGAGCTCTGAATTTGATGAATAAAAGCAAGAGAGCCTACCATTTCCTAAAGCAGCCACTGTGCCAGTTGCTCCTGATTCCCCTCGGTTTCCTGGGTGGGTGGGTTTGCTCCACTCCTTGTGATGTGATGGTGCTCACAGTGGCTGCCACAGCTCACCCTCCCGGCCAGCAGGCCAGCTGTGTCACACACTAGTGGCCAAAATCCTCCCTGGAGGGAGACTGGCCAGGTGCCGTGCTCGCAGCTCCAGGCTTCGTACCAGGCACCCCTCACCTGCCACCTTGTCCTCCTGGAAGGGCCAAAGAGCAAGTTTTTAGGCATTATTTGCAAATGTCAGATTACTACTGCATTGGTTGCTGTACGCCCCCAAAAACCCTCTTGTTCACATAAAACACCTTCAAGCAGCCTGATGCCTTACCTGATTTCCTTTGACAGGGGAAACAGGATGAGAAAGATCCTAAGAAGTGCATCCCTCAGGATGCATGGGAGATGCAGTCAAGTCCTGAATGATTTTATTTTCTTACTTGTGCACAGTAAAAACAAGCACCTAGCCACTAAGTGAAGCTGGTTCTCGCTCCATGGCTAGAATCCCTTAAAAATCAGTACAACTAAACTTTGCAAAACTAGCGGATAAGACATTCCTCAGCTTCCAAAGTTTTCCTGTAAGAAAATTACACTTTTATCTACAGTCAAACTACACTTGAGAGAGAGGGATTAAACCACTGAAAACCACTAAGAGCACAATAGCATTAGCATGGATCCACGGGCCAAATCAACAGCCAGTCTAATCTCAGGGAAAAAACCAAACAGATTTACTTGATACAGCTCCTCTGATTGGTAGCGGATGAGCACAGCTCTCAAAAGAGCAATTACAGAGAGCTCATCCTGTGTCCCTCTACAGCAGAAAGCTAAACAGCACTGTGGTTTTCTCATAACCAGGGTTGCACTATAATATACTGTGCCTGAAATTCATCCCCTGCAGCACAAAAAGAGGGGCTTCTGCCAGATTTCTCTTTTGAAAAATGATTTCATTATCACAGAATCATAGAATGGTTTGGGTTGGAAGGGACCTTAAAGATCGAGTTCCAACCCCCCTGCCCTGGGCAGGGACACCTCCCACCAGACCAGGTTGCTCCAAGCCCCATCCAGCCTGGCCTTGAACCCCTCCAGGGATGGGGCAGCCACAGCTTCTCTGGGCAACCTGTTCCAGTGTCTCACCCCCCTCACAGGAAATAATTTCTTCCTAAGATCTCATCTAAATCTCACTTCTTTCAGGTTAAAACTGTTCCCCGTCATCCTATTGCTCTACTCCCAGATAAAGAGTCTCTCCTGTAGTCCCCTTTACGTATTGGAAGGCTGCAATAAGGAGCACTTCCTTCCCAGTGAAAAGAAAAAAAAAAGCTATTAAAATGCTACTAAAGGTGACAATGTTACATCAGACGAACAGGAATGGGACTCAGATCTGCTAGAGCCAGTTCAGCTCTGCTCTAGCTGCTGTTTGCTGCACCAGGGTAGGCAGGTCCAGACTGGGGTCTCATGAGAGCTGCAGAGCACAGACCACCTCGTCCTGGGGAAGCCATGCTTCACCCTCAGAAGACCAAATATCTTGAGCAAGCTGCCCAGCCATGCAAGTGTTTCATACTGTGGCAGGAAACCTCAAACAGGCGGTTGGGACTTGCATGAAAACGGCACCTTCAGCAGGTCCATGCACAGCTCGGGGTGGTTAGGAAGCTGGTTTGGTTTTTAAACCCAGGAGGCTGCTTGAGTTTCACTGGGGACACGCATCCACAGAAAGAAGGAGCATCTCACACAGCTCATGTGCACCTCCTTGTGTTCCCAGATCTAGATAGATCACCAGCCTTTTGCACTTTAATACACACCCTTTTATACAAGCACAAAGTAGCCAGGCCTTTTTTTTTTTTCTTTCAATGTAACTGATCGCTATTAATGTGCAAGTGAATTGTTACACTGCGTCCCAGTGTCCTTCATTTGAATGATAAATGCCACAGCAGAATGAAGATATGAGAGATGACCTGCTGCAAGCAAAAAGAGAGCATGAGCTTGAAAAACCTATTACTGCCCAAGGCGAAAAGAGAAGCTAATCAGTGGGTACAGAAACCGAAACTCCTACGCTGCCTTCCCAGGTCACAGCAAAAAAACCACTCAGGCTGTACAGCCTTTGTACATCTGCACTAAAAGCAGCAGTAGAATCATCTTGCTGGTGATTTGGGGGTTGAACATGGATAGAAAGCTTGATTCTTATTTTACCTTCTTCATTAGCACATTAAAGCGTAAGGAAACTACTTGTCATTACATTGGGACCCTGAAAACCAAGGGAGGGACATTTAAGTCAGCAACAACCTACTGCAGAAAGACATGAGGGAGAGTTACTGAAAATATCCAGAGAAAATATCCAAGAACAGTACTTCTGGAGGGCATTTCCAATGATCAATTAAAATCATAGAATGGGTTGGGTTGGAAGGGACATTAAAGATCATCCAGTTCCAACCCCCCTGCCCTGGGCAGGGACACCTCCCACCAGACCAGGTTGCTCCAAGCCCCATCCAGCCTGGCCTTGAACCCCTCCAGGGATGGGGCAGCCACAGCTTCTCTGGGCAACCTGTTCCAGTGTCTCACCACCCTCACATCTGTAAGGCTTGCACTATGGTGACACACCTTGTCATTCCTTGCAACACTTGGGACCACGCTGTGATGACAGCTATGCTTCTGATCCTTTGGAGAGTGCTTGTTGTTGAAACTGCAGGCCCTGGGGAGGAGGTCCAGCAGATGGTCAGGTCTGCTGGATTCGCTCTAGCTGCTGATGGCAGCAGGCTGGCTGCGCTTGCATAGGAACAGCAGGTCCCCAGGCAGCTCTAGGGTCCCAGGATGGGGTCAGGAGGGTGCAGAGAGGTTTCCAAGCTTGGGCTGTCTGCTGTCAGAGGCATCACACAAGGGAAGCCATCAGGAATGCTGAAAAGACCAACGATCTCTGGTCTAAAATACACAGTGGTGGATATTTTCCTGAAGTTTTATACCATTTCTATGGAAAAATAGAAAGATGCAGGACAGGAGAAGAAAAGATATTATTTCAAAATCTCAATAGGAAAAAAAAATCCACGTGTCTTGGGGTGTAAGCCATCAACTTCAGGCAGGCACAGGCACTCTTTAGGAGTGATGCCCAGGTTCCTGCTTCCCCCAGCTGCAGGGCTGGAGATGGGACCCACCACTTCCAATGGGTGGGAGATGGGACCAGACTGCCAGCATGACCTGCTACAGCCCTCCCTGCTCAGGCTAAAGGTCTGCTGTTTGCCATGGCACAGTGGGGCTTACTACCAGAGCCCACAGCAACCCACATAGGAATATTTTGTCTCCTTTTTTTGGGGAGGGAGGGGGGGAAGAGCAAAATAAAGCCACCTCCTGTGTGAGCACATTGCCCTGACAAGCAATGACTTTGCAGCGTGCAGCAGGACCAGGTGGATCAGCAGGGGAAATGTTCTCACGAGCACAGGCGATTTACTCTCAGCTTTTCCCTCAGCTCACGTTGTTTAGCACAGCTGTTTTCATCTTTCCAGCCGTCCCTACAAGGAGAGAATGATTACATCCTTACAGAAACTGCCACAAGCATCCAGCAGCTCAACCCAGGTGCCAAAAGCACCTTTTCCCACGACAGTGGAAAAGCAAATGCGTTTTCTCACCTCTAGAAAAGTGCTACTCGCTCCAGCTGCTGGAGCAAACACCATCTGGGATCTGCTTTATGGTATTGTTTCCAGGTGGCAGGGTACACCGTGTCAGGAGGGTTACGTCCCCAGCTGCCACTGAGAGCCATTAGGAATTGCCTCTTCCTTCTTCAACAGCAGAGGTTGCCCCCTCTCAACTTGACTGGCAAAGCAGCACATGCAGGGATTATCTACCCCCATGTCCCACCCCATGCAAAGGATAAAACACATTGCTGATAGCTAAGACACGTATGTAGAATGTATGCAAGGTGCTCCCTTGTGTGTCAGAGCAGTGCAGACACCTGGCAGGAGCAGGAAAATGAAAGGCAACAGGCTGGGAAAGGTGGCTACAAGGCTGGGAGAGGAACAAGAACATTCAAGGTACGACTGCAAACCAGGCCTTTTAGCAAAAAGGCAGCATCAAGAGCCAAATTCTACCTGCGAGGGTCACAGAGATGGCAGCACCTCTCCCACTGTCTTTTAAGGCTTCAGGCTCCCATGGCCACTTCTTGTCCTGGTTCTCAGGTCAGCTAGAGGCAAAGTGTCCAACACAGGACCTCACACTACTTCAGATGCAAAGGGGCAAGTGCCATCCCTTGTTTTTTTAAATAAACCCGTCAGAATAGTAAGCCTAACTGTCATATGGTTTTGCAGCCATAAAAATCCCCCAGCCTGGGTACTGGTCATATATTTGAAACTCCTTACATGCCATGAAAACCAGTTTAAGCTGTCCTCCTAATCTCGCACCAGATCAGATCAAAACCGCTGAGGCAATCCTAGGCCTCAGCTGAGCTGCAAAGGCCCTGCAAAGGCCTCTCCCCCAGCAGGGAAACGAGCTCTCGCACAGGCTTCCCCAAATCTGGAAAAATCAGACCACCAGTCACTTGCAGAGGGGTTATTGGCCCAGAACAGCTACACGGACTAAGAACTAGTGCAAACCCATGATGTCCAACAAAGCCCAGGCCAGTAACGGGCCTGCTTCTCACGAGCAGGTATCTGAAGGCCTCTCAGAGGCTTGAAACTCCCCTCAGGCCAGCTTCAGCGTATCTCAGTCACGTTCCACCCATTTCCCATTCCAAAACCACCACAGTTCCAGTGCAGTAAAGTGATACAGAGCCACTCAGTGACTCCATCGTTATTTTTAGAGATAAATTTGCAGAGCTGCAAGTAGGAATGCGAGCCCCAGAGCTGGCAGGCTGCTTCCCCTGGATGCGTGAGCTTGATTCCCTAGTCCTCCAACCCTACCCTGGAGCTGGCTGACCTCCAAGCACCTCACCTGCCCAGAGGTAAACCCAGCATTTTCTCATCATCCTGCACACAAAGAGGTTGCTTGAACTCCTGATCGCCAAGAAATGGGCCGTAAAGTGATCCAAGGAAAAGAATTCCTTCCATGTTTGATCACGTCTGCTCTTTTCTTATACCCCACCTAACGCAGTTTTCCTCACAAAGAGCCTTCTAGATGAACAGTGACTAAAAAGGCCACAATAAGCACTCAGTGCCAAGCTTCCTCAAGCAAACAAGCAGAAACTTGCACCTTTATTCAAGGCTGACAGGAAGTGGCCTCGCCGCTCCTCAATGGCTGCATTATTTTCTTCAGAAGCTTTGATAATCCCTGCATCCTTGGCACAGCTTGGTAATAACCAGAACAAGTTCTGGAATTGCTCCTGTCCCATAGGTACATTTCTGGACAAAAAGACTAAATTGGGACTAGGCAAAAATAGCCACCCTCCTGCTCACATGAAATCACGCTACCTGTAACCCAGTTTGCAGGCAGCACCGACATATGGAGACTAAAACTCTGCCTGATCCTCTCCTGCCTATATCTGGCAGCAGCAGAACGCTCAGAGGGGTGGGAAGTGCAGTGGAGAAAACAGTTGAAAAGATGAGTCTTAAAATTCCATT